ACCAAGATACATGAATAGGCTCTTAGATTCTTGTAGACATGTTAATCAAATATTAATTTTGTTTACTTACTCAACATCCCTCATAAATGCAAACTCGTGAACGCGTATAAGCTTCAATTTCTTGGTGAAGATATTGGGCACTTGATTGTTACATTTTTTTGTTTGAAAAAATAAATAAATAAAACAGTCAGGTATGGCAAATGCTTTAGAAACAATAAGTGGGCAAGCCTTTGGCGCGAAGCAATATGAAAAGCTGGGGACTCAAACACACACCGCCATATTCAGTCTCATCATCGTTTGTTTTCCTATCTCCATCTTGTGGACGTACATGGGGAGCATACTCTTATTCATCGGCCACGACCCTGAGATATCACGTGAGGCCGGAAGGTTCACTACATGGCTTGTCCCGACCCTATTCGGATATGCCACCCTACAACCCCTCATACGCTACTATCAGATGCAGAGCTTGGTTTTTCCGATTCTCGCGAGCTCCACCTTCACTCTTTGTGTTCACGTTCCCATCTGTTGGGCGCTTGTTTACAAGACAAGATTGGGGAATCTCGGAGGTTCAGTTGCCATGGGGATCACGGTGTGGCTCAACGTCTTCATTTTGAGCTTCTACATGATATTCTCCCCTAAATGCGCAAAAACACGAGCACCCATTTCCATGAAGATATTTGGAGGGGTGAGGGAGTTTTTCAGATTCGCTCTTCCTTCTGCCATTATGATTTGGTAATGTAATACTTAATCTCCTTGTGCTTGCAAGTAAATGATGTTGTGCTGCTATTTTTTTATTATTTTAAATAATAAATTTAGTGTTCATCTTCACAAACTAATTTTTCATTTCTCAACAATTTTTATTTACTTCTTTTCAAAAAAAAAAAAAAACAAAGTCGTTTGAAGGAACTTATTAACACGTTAGTTTCTTGATCCATTGTCGTATCATGATAAGTCTACTAACATTATTCTTTGAATGATATTTGAAAACCATCCACTTGTAGTCTCGAATGGTGGTCGTTTGAGCTGGTCATATTGGTCTCGGGGCTTCTACCAAATCCACAACTTGAAACCTCTGTGCTCTCCATATGGTGTGCATTCTTCAATATTCACATTATAAATTTCGTACTTGCAAGATTTACTTTCTCAACACAAATTACAACTCACTCAATTGTCTGTTATGTCTTACATATACAGCCTGGACACCATAGCTACACTTTCTTCAGTACCAAATGGATTAGCTGCTGCAGCAAGGTATGCACTCGTTGCTCTGTTGTAGGTCTCCCATTTTCATGCATATGATATTAATTAATATTTTTTTTCCTTTTCCCATAAGTTTTGTATTCTTATTTTTCTTAAATGTGTAGCACGAGAATATCCAACGAATTAGGAGCCGGGCAACCAGAAGGAGCTCGTGCTTCTGTGATTGCTCTGATGTTTCTTGCAGCCATTGATGCAATAGTGGCAAGTGCAAGCCTCTTTGCTAGCCGACAAGTTTTTGGCTACATTTTTAGCAGCGACAGAGAGGTTGTGGACTATGTGACGAGTATGGCTCCCCTCATTTGTCTATCTGTGATCATCGACACTCTCCAAGGGACCCTTTCAGGTTTTAGTTACTTTTTTTCCACAAACCAAATCACCTCTCTCCCAAAGAAATATACAATTTAATAAGGTTTAGGAAAAAAGTTACAAAACTGAGAAGCCCTGTTGTACTTTGATATTTCTTTCAAATTTTAAGAAGTATGTCTATCACCTTTATAAATGCTTTGCAGGGAGCTTTTGATATTGATCTATTTGGAATTCTGAAAAGTTCAGAGTTTTCTTGAAATTGGTTTTCAAAAGAAGTCACTTCTAGTGATAAAGAAACACTATAAAAGATTCTAGAAATATACCCCCAAATTAGGTTATAAGTTTCTAAAATAAAATTTCTCTTTTTGTTTTAGCTATTACATTAAAGTTTCTGTAAATATACCCCAAGTTAGGTTATAAGTTTCTAAAATAGAACTTTTTTTTTTGTATTTTAGCTATTAAATTAAATTTCTCATAAATAACATGGATATTACCTTGCCACTAGTTTTCACTTATAGCAAACACTATATTAATCATTAAAGCCTATAATTGTTGTTGATTTTTCAGGTGTTGCGACGGGCTGTGGGTGGCAGCATATCGGGGCATACATTAATCTTTCTGCGTTTTATCTTTTTGGGGTTCCAATTGCGGCCGTATTAGGTTTCTACTTAAATTTTACAGCAAAAGGTCTGTGGGCAGGGATACTTTGTGGCGCAACACTGCAAACAATTATGCTCTCCGCCTTGACTTTCTGCACAAATTGGGAAAAACAGGTTCTTCTTTTAGTCTTTCATGCATCCTTTTATTCATATGTTCCCTTTATATACTATAATAACAAACTTCAATGCTATAAGTTTTGAACATAAGGAGCTTGTGATTGTATTCTTGATGTTTTATTATCACACAAATGCCTTGAATATTTGTTAAATTTTGATTATGCAGGCGGTCAAGGCAAGGGAGAGGTTATTTGAATTTGTTGAGTAAGATTTATTGTATTTTTCTTGTAATATGAAATAACAAATATGAAGGGTCAAGAAGTCCTTTATTTTGTATTGTATTTTGTTGCAAAGTAATGAACTACTTATATGCTGACATTAATGTATGATTTTTTGAATATATGATAAAATAAATGATTATGCATCAGATATCATAAATTTTTTACAGCCAGAAAGAGAGAATCGATTATCAAGATACCTTTTTTTACCAGTAGTCATTCTTAAACCCGTCTGTATTCTTCTGGGCATTGACGCTCATAAGGATTACGATGTTTGATAGATGGATGTCAAGACAGCTTTCCTTGATGAAAGTCTTGAGAAAAGTATCTATATGAGGTAACCCGAGGGTTTTGTCGTGAATGGTCAAGAGCACCTAGTTTGTAAACTAAAAAAGTACATTTATGGACTAAATCAAGCTTCAGGTATTGGAATATCCAATTCTTTGAGGTAATCGAGTCCTGTGGATTTACTCAGAGTCTGAATAAGCAATGTGTGTATATGAAGTGCGACGAAAACGTGGTGGTATCTCTTGTACTATACATTGATGACAGGTTTCTCATTGGCGAAAATGTGAAGGTGTTGTTGAACGTAAAGGTATTGTATCCAAGCAGGATATGAAGGACTTAGGATATGCAACGCATATTCTTGGGATCAAATTAATAGGGGACTTGAGTGGAAAAGCCTTGGGGCTTATCTCTTGCAGTGGGGGCATATGATACGCTACTGTTTCTTTACATTTTTGTCACTATTAGAGACTTGAGTGAGCAACCGACTTGTGGTTGCCCTCGTAGTATTAATATTCGCGAGTGAGGAACCAAGCTTGTGGTTGCCCGCTGCGCTTTTGTATGCTGATTATCGGTTGTCTGAACTACAATTTTAATCTATAAATTTACTTTTACCGATCAAATAAAAAAAGTTAATAAGGGATTGTAAGAAAATTATTCTATACTTATCCTAAGCTTCATACATAGATCCTGTTATGGCACGTTATTGCATGCAGAATTTCAAGAGCGTATATCTATCTTTATAGCATGGAATTACTTTATCTAAAGGTGTGTCCAAAGATGCAACAAATGAGAGAGAGAGAGAGAGAGGATAAAGGTGGTTCCTTACGCATCAACTATAAAAAGTCTTGTGTATGCAATGTTATGTACGAGGCCGAAAATTTTCTTTTCCGATGGCATGGTTATATGATACCAGAGTAATCCTAGATAGACACATTGGTTTGCGGTGAAGAATACAATTAAGTACCTGCAAAGGATAAATGATTATATGCATGTAAACCTGGCAGACGACTTTGAGCTTGTGGGATACATGGATTATGATTTTCAGACAGACAGCAAAGAAAGTAAACGTACCTCAAGTTATATATGTGTTTATGTTGGGAGGAGAAGCTATAGTTGGTAAAAAATAAACAACAATGGCGAACTCCACCATGGAATTCAAACATGTTGCATGCTTTGAGGCAGGAAAGGAAGCGGTGCATTAATGAATGTTTTTTTGGACTTAGATAGATTTCTAGTTTGCCCATGTCTATCATAATTTACTGTGATAACAACAGTGCAACGACCAACTTGAATGAACCACGAGCCCACAAGATAAGCAAACACATAGAGCCCAAGTACCACTGTAACACCCTGCTTTCTTAATAAAATCAGAGTAAAATTTTCGCAAAAGTTTACTTGGTAAATACTTATTAGTTTGCGAAATCGTGATTCGGGATGCTACTGAGAAACCCTTTCTTTTCTGAAAATCAGTTATCCTTTGCTTATGTTAAACTTATTAAGAAAAACATTTTTTTCTAATCGAACCAGAATGTAAAACTGTATACAATCCGACTGACAAATCGGATCAAAATCTGGAAACCAACACGCGAGTTCGAAAACCTGAAAATGTCAGCGGAAGTTCAAACGTGGCAAAATAAATATATACATGTCCAAAAGCCCGTAAAACAGACATATAAACGAACCCACGACCACCGCCTCAGCTCACTCCTCCAACCCGACCCTATGACCTGAAAAAGATAATATAGTGGGGGCGTGAGCACTAAAAGCCACTGAACTCCGCAGAAACTCATACTGAAATAAAATAGTAATAATAATTGCGATATCATGATCAGAGCATATATATAATCTATGTCTATGTCCATGTCTGGCTGATCAACAGTACAAACTGCTACTGGATCAGGTATCTGCCGATTATAATAAACTCCGTCGGAACCATGTGCACACCCTAGTGGGCAGATAACGCCACTAGAACTCAGAATGGATTTACGGCACTTGAACCGGCCACCATTCTAAGTGGAAACTGGATATACATACCTTGAACATTATAGCTGTAATTATACTCAATGTAATACTCAGTCTGAGTCCCCACCTGAACTGCTTGTCTGAAACTGTAAGTGCTGTTGCTTATCAAACTGTAAAAATATATAAAGAAACAAACACTAAGTACTATGCTCAAACTGACTGAAACTAACTGCTAAGATGCTCGACTCGAACTAAATATGTGACTGGAATAATCTCGGGTTCTAACTTGACTGAAAAGAAAACTGAACTGAACTGGTACTGCTAAACTGAACTGACTGGACTTGAAAATTTAACTGAAATATTGAACTGATTGAACTAACTGAACTCGGACCGGGTCACTGAGTCCTGAACCGCTCAAGTAACCGGTCTGAACTGGCCGGTTCACTGGCTGGCCGGACCGCCGGCTCGCTGTGGCCGGGCGGTCGGCCGCT